GGGAAAGATCCTGCATGAGAAAAGTCATCTTACGACGAGAAATGTGGAGCTGCACTGCAGCACGAGCTTTCTCTCTCCTCTAGTGAGCAGTGGTTATTCTGACCACTGCTGCTGCAGAGTACGTCACACAAATGGATGCATTCGGAGCACCAGCAGCTACCCATTTTCTCCTGTAAAATACTAGTTCTTTATTAGTCTATTCAGATTATTTTCCTGGTATGAAAACAGTGTGTATCTTTGGTAGCATGTACAGTAACCAGTATCATAGTCCACCAAAGAAACTCCTTTTCCTTAGGAAATCATGATGTAGACCTTATGGTGTGCCTTAAAATTTAAGATGAACTTACCTGGAAAGCAGAGAAAGAAGGGCAGAGCCAGTGCCAACAGCCTGGCATGTTTAACATGACCAGATAATCAAGCTCTGTCACATCCAGACAGAAAAAAGTTTTTCAAGTGAACAGAGAAGGTGAAGATCATCATTTTGGCTTTAACTGAGAAGTTGGGAACCCTCATCTGGAAGCAGATCTATCAGATCAGTACTGAAATGGCGAAACACTTGTAGTCTTCATCCACTGGACTGCCTCAGTGATCTTCATGCAAAATGCCCAAGAAAGCATTGTTTAGTCATGGGAGGTGTCAAATGCTGTCGATTTTGTGACTTAAGCATAGATATTTACAGCAGTGTTCATATCTAAAAACATAATGACAAAGTCTGTATGCATGGACAAAGCCATTTGGGGGGTACTGAGCTGCTGCCCTGGGATCTAAAGTAATAATAATATGATAATAATCCAACAAATCAAGAAATGCAAATCATCAGGTGAGAGGACTGAAACACTGCAAGGTGAAGAGTGAGGTGACTGAAATTGCTAAGGAACCTGGACTTCCGAATCTTGCTGAAAATTAAATACCAGTGAATACATTCTCTGCAGGGGAGAATGTATGGTATTCAGACCTGCTGAGTTGTTATAAAGATGACTTTCTAAACCAGCTGCCCAAGGTTACAAAGGAAACTATGGAAAAGCCACGACCTGAATCCAGAGCCATTGAGACCCAACACAATACCTTATTAATAAACCTGTCTGCTCTAAGTATTGAAAAGATCTTCAGCTGTAGGAAAAGCTGATGTTATACCTGCCAGTCTTTCCAGATGTCTTTTCTGATGCGTCAGTGTAAGTCGTCAGGTTGAGTTTCAGAGGTTTTCTCTTACTAAAACCCTGTTTTCAGCCTGGCAGTTGGCTAGCTAAGAAGCCCCATAGTTCAGCATCAATGAGAAAATGACGTAAAGATGAATGCTGTATCCAGGAGCTGGTACCTGATTTGCTATGTGAGGTTATCTTCTGGTTGCTTGCACTCTGGAATGATCTAGTTAGGAATACTTACACTTTTAGCAATTTAATCCTGCTCTTTTAGCACTTTATGGGCCTGATCTGGCAAGTCTGCCTTCAGGCAAAAGTCTAGTTAAAGTCGATAGAAGTTGTGTAAGACTAAAGACTGCGGGGTCTGAGACATTAGAATTACATGGTTGGTGAGCATCGTAATAAGGAAAAGGAATATCACAATAAGACTTTAATAAACTGTTTACACTGTTTCAGTCCGGTGGAGTCATTTCAATAGAATCCTCCTTTCCTAGAAAATACATACATTATATTAAATCAATTAAGAATCATAGATCGGTGATCATTCAGTAGTAATCACATAAAAACAACTTTTTGTCATTTCTTAGTGATTAGACATTGCACAGTGCTTGCATTTCTAATTACAGGCAGTCCGTAAAAGCTGAAATCCCAGTTTCTACAATATATGCTAAATGGGCAGCATTTGTTTTTTCTTCATCACAAGAAACAACTGTAGCTATCGTTCTCATTTAGGGTTGTTCAGGCTGTGGGTGCGTGTACCATTACTGGTGTAGAAGTCGCTTCAAAGTGGTACCCGCTTCAGCACAGAGCCAGATGTTTCCAGAACGTGTGCTGAGAGCATCCCTCGCTATTGCTGCCCAGCGGTACCCACAAAAAAGGCATTTTTGAATCTTTCTGCCAGCAATTCAAAATAGCCCTGCCTTGTCATGACTTCCGTTTTTATATCTTTGAATGTGGGTTAAAGTTAAGAAAAAAACAGTAATTGCTGTTATTGTGTCTTTGTAGTAGATCTGATACTGAACTGAAGAGTAAATCAATACTGTCATTTCTGTATAAAATTTCAGTTACATTTTAAGCCATTATCACAGTGAATGTGCCTAATGCATTCAATTTTACAACAAAACTAATCATTAATTTTATCTTTACTGATGTTAGTGTGTATTATAGCATTCTTCAGAACTGGTATTTGAAATGTCAGGTTACTTTTTGCCATATTTGAGGAGAAGCCATAATATTAGAATAACGTATATTAATCTAATCCTTTTTCGGTTGTTTCATTCATATTTTGTCCCCTTGCAACAAGGATACGCAAAGAATGAGTAACTGTTTTGTCAACAGGGACCATAATGATTAAAATACAAACAGTAAATATGACTTCAGGTCTGGAATCGGATTATAGGATTAAAATGAATGAAAAACTGCTCTGTAGTAGGATTGCAAAGTTCCAATCGATACCATCCTGTAATAATTTTAAAGGGAAAATGTGGGAAGTAAAGAAATAAGGCAAAGAGAGCACAACTTCAGGTTGTTGGTGATGCTTGAGTTTCTTGATTTTCTTTTGGTTTATCGTTAGGTCGCAGCTAGAAAGCTGCAATGTCACTGGGGTTCCGTGCTTTCGATTTATCTTACATCTGTTGTGCTGGGTTATTTTGCTCTTGCATCGTAAGGGTTAAAGACAGCTGGCCTTAGGTTAATGCAGTAGAAGGGAAGGAGGGACAGCGGGAGTGGAGGCTGCAGAGCACCTGGCACCGGCACCCACTTGCAAAGGGGCAGCAGTGCCTGTGCATTTCTGGCCTTGTGAGTTTGTAATGTGGACTGAGGGCGTTGCTTAACGTTTTGGATCAAAGATGTGCTGGAGAAATCTGCCCTGGTTTGTCTGAGCCCATCTACAAGGGTGCGGTATGACTTGTTAGCACAGGAGGCTGATTGCAAGGATGCTTTAAGTGTTCTTAGGGCCACCCCAATCCTTCACAGGCCGGTGGGCTCTCTCTGCTTGGCCCTGGGCAGCCTCATAGCCCAGCACTGCGCCTGTGTTTGTTCTGTCTGCCTCAGGTCCCTGTTCTTACCTTTGGTTCCTCGGGAGATCGCATCCTCGGATTTTGTGCCGGGGAGGTCTCCTCAGGCTTCATTCGAGACTGAAAGCATTTGTATGCTGCTTCAGCCCTGCCCTCTTTGCAGAGATCTGGAGGATGGTAAAAATGCAAATTAGTGTTGTTTCAAATATTCTTCAGGCCAGCTGTACTAACCTCAGTGCGAAGTAGATTTTCCACCAGAAGGTGTATTTCCTGGATCGTGGAGAAGTACTGTGAGAAGTGCCACCTCTTAAAGGACTGAATTCTGAACGTTTCTGTTCTTTATGTATTATCAGTGTGACGAGGCTATGTTTTCGTCTCTAGTGATGAAGTTAAGATAGATGAAGGTCTGGGGTGCTTAGTCTCATGCATCTGTGGCAGGTTGCCTTTTCAAAAGTAAATGCATTTGTCGCTTTCTAAAAGTCAAGCCTGCCTGAGAAGAGCTCTCCAAAATTGGCAGTGCTTAAATCTACCACTCTTTTTTTTTTTTTTTATCTCATGCAAAATGTTAGTTACATCTTTTTAGGCACCTAGAGGAACTCAGCTATGAATAAGCTAAAAATTTTTAAAAAGGCATTATTTTTATCAGGAAACCTAACAGGCCATACCATAAATCAGAGCCAAGCATCTTGGTCGTTTTCCGTCTGGGTCCAAGAACTGTTACAGCAGTTTGATTCTACATAGACACTCAGAAGTGAACCATCCTGCTATGGAGGTTTAGGTTATAGCTGCTATTGCTCCCTGAGACGTGAGACCTTCTGTTATTAGAGGCAAGGCTGACTAGGTGCAGCGTGGCATCCTTATTCTGCTTCCAGAGCCAAGCTGCTGCCTCCAGAAGCTGCTGCACAGCCCCACACAGAGTCTTCTGATTATGTCTAGAGCAGCTTGAAGAACACTGCACTGCGCTCCCCTGTGCGATACTGGCATACCCACAAACTCATAGGAGGTCAGCAGGACAGAAAAAATTCCTCCTCTGACCAGAGGAGCTTCACGTTGTACATTTGGTATCTTCCCTTGGTATAAGAAGAGGGGTTTGTGCTTATCACTCTTGAGTTGTTCTTGGACATTTCTGGAACCTAAAGCAAAAGGAACAGAAGCAAAGTCCATAAAATTGGGGGTGAGTCACGTGAAGTGTCCCATGCCCAATGACAAGCAAGTGCAGTAAAGATGAAAAGGAGAAAAAGCAACGCTTGGAAGCCTTGTTGGAGAGGAGCAGGGCATGGGAAGAAAGTGTAGTGCAAAGTCCTGCAAAAATGTACAGGCAATGCCCACCAGCAGCTTGAAATAGGCTTCCAGAGAAATACTTACTTGAACTTTTACTTGTAGCAGATTGGATGGAATTTGTATTTTCTTCCCCATTTTCCTGTCTTAATCCCTCTGAAAGAAGATGGCAGTAAGCAGTGACTATCATCACAATGCATTTCTGATTAACAGCAAGGGCACAGGGGCACTCTCAAAATAGAAGCAAAGTCGGGATTGTTTTAAATCACAGTGTTGCAGAAGTATTAAAGCGGAAGCCATAATTTTAATGTGTTCAGAAATAAAATGCATGCTACTGTAAACCGTTGTGTACATTCATCTAGCTGCTACTGACTGGCATAACCTTTTGCATTAGGTTTCTGTGATTCATCTTTTCTTTTGTTTCAGAGAGTCGAATGATTCTGGATGCCTTTGCCCAACAATGCAGCCGGGTTCTAAGTCTCTTAAATTGTGGTGGAAAACTACTGGACAACAATCACTCTCAGTCCATGATTTCCTGTATAAAGCAGGAAAACCCAAATTATAGTGAAAGACAAGAGCAATGTCAGCTTGGGAAAATGGTCCATAGTCAGACATCAGACATTTTAGACATAGAGATGCAGTATATGCAAAAGAAACAACAAACCTCAGCCTTTCTGAGAGTTTTTACCGATTCCCTTCAGAACTATTTGCTTTCTGGGAGCTTCCCTTCTCAGAACACCTCATCAGTAAATGATTTTAGCCATTTGGCAGATGTGGATCCACTTTCAACTTCTCCAGTACATACTTTAGGTGGATGGACATCTCCAGCAACATCTGAATCTCATGGTCACCCATCGTCTTCTACACTTCCAGAGGAGGAAGAGGAGGAAGAGGAAGAAGGTTACTGCCCTCGGTGTCAAGAGCTAGAGCAGGAGGTAATTTCATTGCAACAAGAAAACGAGGAACTTCGTAGAAAATTGGAGAGCATTCCAGGTAAATAATCCCCTGCCATGTAATGCTGTCAGTCGGTGATAAAAACAGTTTGGGTAATAGTTTGTTTTAAGTTCTAGTTGTCTTTTAAGGTTGTAGTTGTAGTAATCAAATGCTGGAATTTGTCTCCATCCAAAATTCCTGTAGCTGTGCCCACTGGAAAATTATCTGCTGATACTCATCCATACGAATCATGAGTCCTAGACTAACAAGCTGTGTTCAGGATGGCGTGTAGTTGTAATCCCAAATTCCAAACATCAGGTGATTTGTCATGGTAATTTCAAACATATGCTTTTCTACCTAATTATCTGTATTGCTCTTTAAGTGATGTTGCAGCTTATAAACCCAATTCCCTTTTGGGGCTCCTTTTCTGGTTACTTAAAGAAACTATTCAAAGTTATGTCCATACTTTTAACCAAAATAGATTTGGCTTTTACCTTGAACAGTATCTCTTAAATTGCTGTTAGCTCAGTGAGAAGCATAAATACATCTCCTCCCATTTATTTTCAAATAATACCTGAAAAAAGGCTTGGCAACAAATTCTCCGGTTCAG